CAATCACTATTATTATTATTATTACTATTGTTATCATATAACCGTTATTATTATCATTATTATTATTAATATTATTGAATATGGTTATTACTATTATAAATTTCATTATCAATGATCCTATTACTATTACTCTTATCTTTATTTTTTCTGAAATTGTCATTATTAACTTGACTGCTATTATACTTATAATTATTGCTATCCTATTATCATCAGTAATATTATCAAATCATCATTACTTTGACCATACTAATTCTATTACTGTAGGAATTACAGCAACTTCAGCAGTAACAATGCAATGATTGTATCAGTAACAATAGCTGGTTTCAATAAAAGTAAAATTATTGATATTGTCGATCTTACTGTTAGAATTACTGACCTTTACAGTTATATATGGCAATATTGTAGTTTAAAGTAGTAGTAGTAATAATCATAGTCATAATATCAATACCATTAGTTAAGAGAATGCAAATAACTATATTGTTCCTATGGTTATTATTAATCTTGCTAATAATTCTAAAGATTAGTAAGCAATAACACTACATAATAAACACACTGTTGTTTGCTTATTGTTCTATACTTATTCATGACTTAAACACTCGGGCACGCATAGAAACACACACGCACACATATGTGTGTGTATATATATGTATATATATATTTATATTCAAAAATAAATATCTCTAAATGTATGTTATGTATGAATGTATGCATGTATATATGAATATAAGAAAACAGATCTATATGAATAGAGTATTAAGAGAGTAAATCAAACTTATAATTGTACTTTCCTCAAATATCCATAGCATTCTGCAAGCACAATAGGATAAAGGTAAAGAAGCGAGGAACTGTGAATACGAAAAGAAATTGAGGTCACTGGAGGTGCGAGAGGAAAGAGAGAGAATGGAAGTATATAAGGCGGAGCTTGACTGGACGAGCCAGCATCTTCCACCATGAAGCTCTTGGTGAGTGGTACTTCGTACTCCGTATTCTGAAATGAGAAGTTATAGCAAACTTTAGTTACTTCATATTAAGCACCCTATTCTGAGAAAATACATTTATTCCTCTTGTACTTTCTACAGGTTGTCTCGGCACTCGTGGTCGCAGCTTACGCGGCACCTCAAGGCTACAATTTGGCCTCGCCATCGGGAGGTGGATTCTCCCATGGTGGAGGTCACTCATCTGGAAGTGGCTTCTCTAGTGGCGGCGGAGGCTCCGGTGGAGGATTCTCCAGTGGCGGTGGAATCTCTGGTGGAGGATTTTCAAGCAGCGGAGGAATCTCTGGTGGAGGATTTTCAAGTGGTGGTGGAATCTCTGGTGTAGGATTCTCAAGTGGCGGTGGAGTGTCTGGTGGAGGTTTCTCTGGTGGAAGCAGTGGTGGATTTGGTGGTGGATCTGGAGGTCACGCTGGTGGGTGTCGTGATGGAGAGATCCTGCATGTAGATGGATCTTGTGTTATTCCTGTAATCACGAGAAATGTGTTTGTGTATGATGCTCCTGAACAATCTCAGCAGCCAAGCGGTCCACCACCAAGTGTCCCACCACCAAGAGTTGATCATAACATTCTGTTCGTGCGTCTTCCTGAAGGAGGAGCAGGTCCTGAACCCATCATCGTTCCTCCACCAAGGCAAGAGAACATCGTGTATGTCCTGAACAAGAACGATGGAGCAGGAGGCCAGCGAGTAATTGAGGTTACTGCTCCTCCAGCTACCAACCCCGAGGTTTACTTTGTCAACTACGAAGAGGGAGAGAACCCAACTCTTCCTATTGGCGTGGATCTCGAGACTGCTCTTAACGCTGCCGCTAGTGCTGGCGGTCAAGTGATCGGAGGCGCCGGAGGAGCAGGTGGCTTTGGAGGCGATGGAGGATTTGGTGGTAGTGGATCAGGTGGCTTTGGAGGCGATGGAGGATTTGGCGGCAGTGGAGCAGGTGGCTTTGGAGGCGATGGAGGATTTGGTGGTAGTGGAGCAGGCGGTTTTGGAGGAGATGGAGGGTTTGGTGGTAGTGCAGGTGGAAGTGGAGGTTTCGGTGGTGCAGGAGGAGTAAGTGGAGGTTTCGGTGGCGTAAGTGGAGGAAGCGGAGGCTTTGGCGGAAGTGGAGCAGGAAGTAGTGGAGGATTTGGAGGAAGTGGAAGCAGTGCTGGTACTCCATCCACTTTATATTCTGGCCCTTAAGAATTAGGGAAGGAATAGTTCCACTTTGCTACCTACCTGAATGCCATTTTGGCCAGTTAATGTTTTATGATTGTTTATGACTTTTACAAAAAAATATATATACATAAATAAAATTATATTTGTTTCTTTATCTCTAGAAAAAGGGAATGCTGTAGAACTATTTTCTTTCGCCATGTTGATTACATTATTTTTTCTTTTTTACACGAGTAAAATTCATGATAAATGAAAAAAGAGGAAAAGAAAGAAAGAAAAAAAAATTCATGTGGTTGATATTTATTAGATCTTCATAAAATCTACTTAGCAAAATGAAATTAACAAAATAAATTCGTATTCAAAGTAAGAAAGAAAGAGTCTGACATCGAGAATATATATTATAAACATATATATGTATATAGATATATCCTCACACTGACGAACCCACGTATCACAGACACAAAGAGACTTAAACAAACACACACACACACACACACACACAAATAAGTAAACGCACACATAAGGTAACACCTACCCCCCCCCCCACAGGAACACTTTTGTATATTGATATATGTTTTAGCTAATATGGGACCCCGAAGTACTATACTGAAAAATGTGTTTGGGTACATGCCAAGTCAGCTGAGCGAGGAAAACACACACACACAAAAAAAAAAACAACAACAACAACAACATATGCATGGGAATAATAACATTTCCACGCCCTCTATGTGTATATTTGTGTATATATGTATTTATATATACAGAGAGAGAGAGAGAGAGAGAGCAGAGTAATCTTGCTTCTGTATATGTATATATATGTGTATATATATCCATATATATGTATATATACATATATACATCCATATGGAAGTATATATGTGTATATGTATATATATAATTATGTATATATACATTTATATATCTAGATAGATGTAAATATAGGTATAGATATAGACAATTAGATAGATAGACAGATGGATAGATATGTATGTGTAAATGAATAAATATATGTACATATATATGTGTATGTATATGTACATACATACACATATATGAATACACACATTTATACATATATATATATATATATATATATATATATATATATATATACATATATATATGCATATATATACATATACATACATGTATATATATATATATATATATATATATATATATATATATATATTCATGTATATTTATATATATTCATCTATCCATCCAAATGTATATTATCTATCTACCTATCTAATTATCAAACTATATTTCTATCTAATTATATATGCATAAAAGTAAATATTAATAAACAAATATATAGGTATATACATAAGTTTTCTTAAAATTGTCAATTCATTTAAAACATAGTTTAAGAGAACTGAATTCAAGAATCTGCACGGAGGCGTGCTTGGAATACTTATGGTTTTATAAAAGGATCATTATCTCATAATCATATTCATTATTGTAATTTTCGTTGAAATTTTTATGAGGTAATATTATTTAAATCATTTTAATTTATGATGGTTTATATCAAGGTAATAATATTCCATGCTATTATTGCTGTTTTGAATATTATTATCATTATTATTATTGCTGTTGTTACGACCGCCGTGGTGTAGCGGTAACATGCGCAGCTGGTTATCCATGAGGGCCGGTTACCCTGCTCGCGAGTGTTCGAATCTAGCACCAGTGGTCTAGGATGAAAAGGAAAAGCATCCACTTGGAATAACGGCCGAAACCTGCTAAAAGCAAAGTCTTTCGAAAGAAGACACTGTCCTAACTCTTGTAAGGGAGTTCGTGAGTTAAAGCTAAAGCAACTTCATCAATCATTATAATTATTATTATTACTATTGTTATCATATTACTGTTATTATTATCAATATTATAATTACTTTTTTAATATTGTTATTACTATTATTAATTTCATCATTATCAATATTCCTTTTACTACTACTTTCATTTCTATTTGTTCTGTAATTGTCATTATTAACTTGACTATTACTATACTTTTAATTATTGCTATCCTATTATCATTATCATATCATTAATTTGACCATACTAATTTATATTACTGTAGGAATAACAGCAACCTCAGTAGTAACAATGCAATGATTGTAGCAGTAACAATAGCTGGTTTCAATAAAAGTAAAATTATTGATATTCTTGATCTTACTGTGAGAATTACTGACGTTTACATTTATATATAACAATAACCCGGGCGAGGCTCTGCTTCGCGAATCTTAAAGAAAAAAAAAAAAAAAAATATATATATATATATACATATAATATTATAGCTTAAAGACAGTGCTAGTAGTAATAATCGTCATAATTTCAATAGCATTAGTTCAGAGGATGCAAATAACTATATTGTTCCTATGGTTATTATTAATCTTGCTAATGGTATATAGGATCAAGATTATAACTCTAAAGATAGTAAGGAATAACACTAAATAATAAACACACTGCCGTTTGCTTATTGTTCTATACCTATTCATGACTTAAAACTCGGGCAATCATAGAAACACACACACATATGCGTGCTTGTATATATGCATGTATATATTCATATTCAAAAATAAATATCTCTATATGTATGCTATGTATGAATTCATGCATGTTTATTTGAATATAAGAAAGCAGATCTATATGAATAGAGTATTATGAGAGTAAATCAAACTTAAAAAATGTACTTTCTTCAAATATCCATAGCACTCTGTAAGCACAATAGGATAAAGGTAAAGAAGCGAGGAAATGTGAGTACGAAAAGAAATTGAGGTCACTGGAGGTGCGAGAGGAAAGAGAGAGAATGGAAGTATATAAGGCGGAGCTTGACTGGACGAGCCAGCATCTTCCACCATGAAGCTCTTGGTGAGTGGTACTTCCTTCTCCGTATTCTGAAATGAGAAGTTATAGCAAACTTTAGTTACTTCATATTAAGCACCCTACTCTGAGAAAATACATTCATTCCTCTTGTACTTTCTACAGGTTGTCTCGGCACTCGTGGTCGCAGCTTACGCGGCACCTCAAGGCTACAATTTGGCCTCGCCATCGGGAGGTGGATTCTCCCATAGTGGAGGTCACTCATCCGGAAGTGGCTTCTCTAGTGGCGGCGGAGGCTCCGGTGGAGGATTCTCCAGTGGCGGTGGAATCTCTGGTGGAGGATTTTCAAGCAGCGGAGGAATCTCTGGTGGAGGATTTTCAAGTGGTGGTGGAATCTCTGGTGTAGGATTCTCAAGTGGCGGTGGAGTGTCTGGTGGAGGTTTCTCCGGTGGAAGCAGTGGTGGATTTGGTGGTGGATCTGGAGGTCACGCTGGTGGGTGTCGTGATGGAGAGATCCTGCATGTAGATGGATCTTGCGTTGTTCCTGTAATCACGAGAAATGTGTTTGTGTATGATGCTCCTGAACAAGCTCAGCAGCCAAGCGGTCCACCACCAAGTGTCCCACCACCAAGAGTTGATCATAACATTCTGTTCGTGCGTCTTCCTGAAGGAGGAGCAGGTCCTGAACCCATCATCGTTCCTCCACCAAGGCAAGAGAACATCGTGTATGTCCTGAACAAGAACGATGGAGCAGGAGGCCAGCGAGTAATTGAGGTTACTGCTCCTCCAGCTACCAACCCCGAGGTTTACTTTGTCAACTACGAAGAGGGAGAGAACCCAACTCTTCCTATTGGCGTGGATCTCGAGACTGCTCTTAACGCTGCCGCTAGTGCTGGTGGTCAAGTGATCGGAGGCGCCGGAGGAGCAGGTGGCTTTGGAGGCGATGGAGGATTTGGCGGTAGTGGATCAGGTGGCTTTGGAGGCGATGGAGGATTTGGCGGTAGTGGAGCAGGAGGATTTGGAGGCGATGGAGGATTTGGCGGTAGTGGTGGAAGTGGAGGATTCGGTGGTGCAGGTGGAGTAAGTGGAGGTTTCGGTGGCGTAAGTGGAGGAAGCGGAGACTTTGGCGGAAGTGGAGCAGGAAGTAGTGGAGGATTTGGAGGAAGTGGAAGCAGTGCTGGTACTCCATCCACTTTATATTCCGGCCCTTAAACATTATGGAAGGAACAGTTCCACCTTGCTAAGTAATATCTACCTTCATGTTAATATAGTCAGTTAATATTTTATTACTATCGTTTATAACTTTTAACAAATACATATAAAAGTAATATATACTTGTTTCTTTACCTCGAAAATTAGTAAATCAAAAGACAAATGTCGTACGAAATAGCTCATGAAGGTTATAATGCCGCTAAATTCTTTCAGTAGACTAATTGAAATAAGAGTCTTTACCGAATGAAAAAAAGAGGAAAAAGAAAGGACAGAGAGAAAGAAATGAGAACATTCATGTGGTGGATATAATTTATATTTCAGAAAATCTAAAAGAAAACACAATACGCTTAACAAAGTAAAGAAAAAGAAAGAAAGAAAAGAATATAATGAAAAAAGTCAGATAACATATTTAAACGAACTTGATCAGACGAAGTGGCCAAATTTTGAATGGCGTGAAATATACGAGTATCTAATTAATTCACCCGACATTTACACCCGTGAAGCCATGAAAAATCGTAGAGTTTGGAGATACATAACCAAATTAAGATTGGCAGGTTGAGAATACTGATGCATCATCATGTAAAATTGCAAAAAATATTATCGTAATGAAGGTTGATGTTTTGCCCTTGCAAAGACTAAAACGAAGCACCCCATTCACCTTGGGTAGCTCTGAATACGAAGGATAACCCTGTTACCGCAGCACGTTGTACTTACATGGCTGGGTGAGCATGAGTTTTACTTTAAAAGAAAGAACAGACAAAACTTCCCCTTTCAAAAAAAAAATGGACTGAACCTTTAAAATTATATTCTGACACTGATGGAAATACAAAACAAAGTAGATCGACATTATAGTAAGAAAATATTACCTCAGCGAAAAAAAAAAAAAAACTTGAAATAGGAGTTTCCCGACATTTTTTTTTTTTTTTTTTTACTTACTCGTTTTTTTTCTTTTCTTTTCTTTTCTTTTCAGTTGCATCTTATTGTGATTTGCACACCCATATTCAGCACAACTTAGACGCACCGCGGAATGAAAAACTAAGAAATAATTGAAGAACCGATGCAGTGTCCCATGCACTGAAGCGCAAGTTGAGGCTTGTTTTGACTGCAGCTGAGGTTTCCTGGCAACAATATGCATAATGTATATTGATATATATTTTAGACACTACGATAGCCTTGTGCCATACCTAAACACGCGTTAGGGTGCATGCTGAGTCAACTGTATATGCTGTATGATTATATACATGTGTTTATGTATATATATATGTGTGAATAAATAAATGTATTATACAAATGTATGTATATACATATATTTGTGTGTGCGTGTTAGTATATATACACTATATGTAGAGAGATGGATAAATAGACAGATGGATAGATAGATAGATGAATAAATAGATGGATAAATAGACAGATGGATAGATAGATAGATGGATAAATGTAGGGATAAAATGATAGATGAGATGATAGATAGATGAATAAATAGATGGATAAATAGACAGATGGATAGATAGATAGATGAATAAATAGATGGATAAATAGACAGATGGATAGATAGATAGATGAATAAATAGATGGATAAATAGACAGATGGATAGATAGATAGATGAATAAATAGATGGATAAATAGACAGATGGATAGATAGATAGATGAATAAATAGATGGATAAATAGACAGATGGATAGATAGATAGATGAATAAATAGATGGATAAATAGACAGATGGATAGATAGATAGATGAATAAATAGATGGATAAATAGACAGATGGATAGATAGATAGATGAATAAATAGATGGATAAATAGACAGATGGATAGATAGATAGATGAATAAATAGATGGATAAATAGACAGATGGATAGATAGATAGATGAATAAATAGATGGATAAATAGACAGATGGATAGATAGATAGATGAATAAATAGATGGATAAATAGACAGATGGATAGATAGATAGATGAATAAATAGATGGATAAATAGACAGATGGATAGATAGATAGATGAATAAATAGATGGATAAATAGACAGATGGATAGATAGATAGATGAATAAATAGATGGATAAATAGACAGATGGATAGATAGATAGATGAATAAATAGATGGATAAATAGACAGATGGATAGATAGATAGATGAATAAATAGATGGATAAATAGACAGATGGATAGATAGATAGATGAATAAATAGATGGATAAATAGACAGATGGATAGATAGATAGATGAATAAATAGATGGATAAATAGACAGATGGATAGATAGATAGATGAATAAATAGATGGATAAATAGACAGATGGATAGATAGATAGATGAATAAATAGATGGATAAATAGACAGATGGATAGATAGATAGATGAATAAATAGATGGATAAATAGACAGATGGATAGATAGATAGATGAATAAATAGATGGATAAATAGACAGATGGATAGATAGATAGATGAATAAATAGATGGATAAATAGACAGATGGATAGATAGATAGATGAATAAATAGATGGATAAATAGACAGATGGATAGATAGATAGATGAATAAATAGATGGATAAATAGACAGATGGATAGATAGATAGATGAATAAATAGATGGATAAATAGACAGATGGATAGATAGATAGATGAATAAATAGATGGATAAATAGACAGATGGATAGATAGATAGATGAATAAATAGATGGATAAATAGACAGATGGATAGATAGATAGATGAATAAATAGATGGATAAATAGACAGATGGATAGATAGATAGATGAATAAATAGATGGATAAATAGACAGATGGATAGATAGATAGATGAATAAATAGATGGATAAATAGACAGATGGATAGATAGATAGATGAATAAATAGATGGATAAATAGACAGATGGATAGATAGATAGATGAATAAATAGATGGATAAATAGACAGATGGATAGATAGATAGATGAATAAATAGATGGATAAATAGACAGATGGATAGATAGATAGATGAATAAATAGATGGATAAATAGACAGATGGATAGATAGATAGATGAATAAATAGATGGATAAATAGACAGATGGATAGATAGATAGATGAATAAATAGATGGATAAATAGACAGATGGATAGATAGATAGATGAATAAATAGATGGATAAATAGACAGATGGATAGATAGATAGATGAATAAATAGATGGATAAATAGACAGATGGATAGATAGATAGATGAATAAATAGATGGATAAATAGACAGATGGATAGATAGATAGATGAATAAATAGATGGATAAATAGACAGATGGATAGATAGATAGATGAATAAATAGATGGATAAATAGACAGATGGATATATAGATAGATGAATAAATAGATGGATAAATAGACAGATGGATAGATAGATAGATGAATAAATAGATGGATAAATAGACAGATGGATAGATAGATAGATGAATAAATAGATGGATAAATAGACAGATGGATAGATAGATAGATGAATAAATAGATGGATAAATAGACAGATGGATAGATAGATAGATGAATAAATAGATGGATAAATAGACAGATGGATAGATAGATAGATGAATAAATAGATGGATAAATAGACAGATGGATAGATAGATAGATGAATAAATAGATGGATAAATAGACAGATGGATAGATAGATAGATGAATAAATAGATGGATAAATAGACAGATGGATAGATAGATAGATGAATAAATAGATGGATAAATAGACAGATGGATAGATAGATAGATGAATAAATAGATGGATAAATAGACAGATGGATAGATAGATAGATGAATAAATAGATGGATAAATAGACAGATGGATAGATAGATAGATGAATAAATAGATGGATAAATAGACAGATGGATAGATAGATAGATGAATAATAATAGTTGTAATAAAAATAGCAATAGCATTAGTTAATTAAAAGTGGAAATATCTATATTGGTGTTCCTATATTCATCTTTGTCAACGGTTCTTATTATATGTAGCATCAAAATCGCTATTTTAAAAATAATAGGAAATTAAGTAAGTTTATTTACATACTATAGACTACCTATTGCTCTATAGTTATTTATGACTATAACCTTGCATTTAGTGATTGTGAATATCCATACCTTTTTTAAATAAACCACACATAGTACGAAACACAGACACTCACAGAACAGCATATACACTACATACAAATGTGTATATGTATAAACGTATACATACATTTATGTGTGCCTGTGTCTATTCATATATTATTCATATCTATATATACATGTAGTTTACACATGAATCAGTGTATATGTCAATATACATAAGTATATTTATATACAAAACGGCATACAATGAGAGTAAATCAAACCAACAAATGTATTTCCTTGGGATAAAATTAATCCTAAAAGAACAAAACAAAAACAAACAAACAAAAAAACAACAACAGAAAACGATGAGAGGTAGTGAGTACGAGACGAAATTGGGGTCACTTGGAGTGCGAGAGGAGAGAGAATGGATGTATATAAGACGGAGCTTGACTGGACGAGCCATCATCTTCCACCATGAAGCTCTTGGTGAGTGGTATTTCCTACTCCGCACACTGAAATGAGAAAGATGTTATAGCGAAATGTAGTTACTTCATATTATGCACCCTATTATTCAAACGTAATTATACTCACACTCACACACACTCAGATACAATTTGACATAAAAGAAAATACATAACATCTAAGCCTAAGAACACTCACGTAAATAGATTCAGATAAACATAGGTCACATAATGTTAAAAAACAACAACACATGACAAATAATCCTGTTAAAAAATATATTGACTCCCCTTATAATTTCTGAAGGTACTCTTGGGACTCGTGGTCGCAGCTTACGGGGCACCTCAAGGCTACAATTTGGCCTCGCCATCGGGAGGTGGATTCTCCCATGGTGGAGGTCACTCATCTGGAAGTGGCTTCTCTAGTGGCGGCGGAGCCTCCGGTGGAGGATTCTCCAGTGGCGGTGGAATCTCTGGTGGAGGATTTTCAAGCAGTGGAGGAATCTCTGGTGGAGGATTTTCAAGTGATGGTGGAGTGTCTGGTGGAGGTTTCTCCGGTGGAAGCAGCGGTGGATTTGGTGGAACTGGAGGTCCCGCTAGTGGGTGTCGTGATGGAGAGATCCTGCATGTAGATGGATCTTGCGTAGTTCCTGTAATCACGAGAAATGTGTTTGTGTATGATGCTCCTGAACAATCTCAGCAGCCAAGCGGACCACCACCAAGTGTCCCACCACCTAAAGTTGATCATAACATTCTGTTCGTGCGTCTTCCTGAAGGAGGAGCAGGTCCTGAACCCATCATCGTTCCTCCACCAAGGCAAGAGAACATCGTGTACGTCCTGAACAAGAACGATGGAGAAGGAGGCCAGCGAGTAATCGAGGTTACTGCTCCTCCAGCTACCAACCCCGAGGTTTACTTTGTCAACTACGAAGAGGGAGAGAACCCAACTCTTCCTATTGGCGTGGATCTCGAGACTGCTCTTAACGCTGCCGCTAGTGCTGGTGGTCAAGTGATCGGAGGCGCCGGAGGAGCAGGTGGCTTTGGAGGCGATGGAGGATTTGGCGGCAGTGGATCAGGTGGCTTTGGAGGCGATGGAGGATTTGGCGGCAGTGGAGCAGGTGGCTTTGGAGGCGATGGAGGATTTGGCGGCAGTGGAGCAGGTGGCTTTGGAGGCGATGGAGGATTTGGCGGTAGTGGAGCAGGTGGTTTTGGTGGTAGTGGTGGAAGTGGAGGATTCGCCGGTTCAGGTGGAGTAAGTGGAGGTTTCAGTGGCGTAAGTAGTGGAAGTGGAGGCTTTAGTGGAAGTGGAGCAGGAAGTATTGGAGGATTTGGAGGAAGTGGAAGCAGTGCTGGTACCCCATCCACTTTGTATTCTAGTCCTTAAATGTAAGGGAAGGAACAGTTCGACCTTACTAAGTAATACCTTCGTGTCAGTATGGTCAGTTAATATTTTCTTACTATTGTTTATAACTTTTAACAAATATATATGAAAAAAAAAAGTTTATACTTCTTTCTTTATCTCGAAAATAAGTGAATAAATAGACGAATGTCGTTGTCAATTAAAGGCTGTTGCTAAATTCTTTCAGAAGACTAATTGCAATAGGGGTCTTTACTTTTTAAAAATTCAAGACTAAATAAATGATCGAAGGAAGGAAATGAGAACATTTATGTGGCGGATATAAATTCATATTTCAGAAAATAAAAATTTAGCAAAATACATTCATTATAGTAAGATAACTAACAAAGGTTTAAACATAAAAAGACAGAAGTTATGCATCATTCTAAACTAACTTATGAATTAGCACATCTACGGAGAAAAATAGACACACAAAGCATACAAACAAAATACACAAGCCAAACAGTCCACTACCAACTGTTCCACTACCTAGAGTAGATCATAACATTCTGTCCGTGCGTCTTTCTAAATAAGAAGCAGGACTTGAACCTATTATTATTCCTCCACCAAGGCAAGAGAACATTGTGTATGTCCTGAACAAGAACGATGTAGCAGGAGGCCAGCGAGTAATTGAATCCTGAGGTTTACTATGACGAGAGAGAGAGTCCTATTGATCCGATCTTGAGACTACTCCTAACGCTGCAACTCGTGGTGGTAGTTAAGTGATCAGAGCCGCCGGAGGGGCTTTGGAGGCGATGGAGGATTTGGTGCAGTGTATCAGGTGGCTTTGGTGGTGATGAAGGATTTGGCGGTAATGGAGTAGGTGATTTTGGTGGAAGTGGGGGATTAGCTGGTGCAGGTGGAGTAAGTAGCGAAAGGGTAAGTGATGAAAGCGGAGGTTTTGGCGGAAGTGGAGCAGGAAGTAGTGGAGGAAGCAGTGCTGGTACCCCATCCCCTTTATATTCTGGCCCTTAAATGTTAGGGAAGGAAGATTTCCACCTTGCTAAATAATATCTACCTCTATGTCAATATAGCCAGTTATTATTTTATTACTATTGTTAATAACATTTTCCAAATACATGTAAAAAGTTTATACTTGTTTATCTCGAAAATAAACAATTAAATCAATAGACGTATGTCGTAGGGACTGAAACGCTGTGTTGCTAAAATCTTTCAGAAGTTTGATTGCAAAATGGGTCTTTACTTCTTCAAAATTCATGACGAGGAAGATGCAAAAAAATATATAGAGCGAAGAAATGAGAACATGTGGTGGATAAATTTCACATTTCAGAAGATCTAATGAAATAAAAATAACTAACAACAGTTTTGAAAATGAAAAGACGGAAAAAAATTCTGATACCAATTATATATCAATCTATACAAGCTTGAATTAAAACATACGGAAAAACAACACACTCACATAGCATACACAAAACAGATAAACAAAGACACGCAAAATGTATATTGATATATA